ATTAACGACTTGTGGCCCTAATTGCACGTTCGGATTTTTACGGGCGACCCTGTCGTACGCGCGATGCGTGCAAGATTACGAACACGAATGGAGAAGTGCGAGAGAGAGAGAGAGAGAGAGAGAGAGAGAAAGAGAGAGATTGAAGGAAGAGGGGCGGTATATGACATAGGGCTATAATTACTGCGAGCGTGCCCTCACGCATGCGGTAAAAAATCGGGATAAAACGGTGCCTCTATTAATTACCTATTACTTAATCGCGCGTTCCCCTTCATCGAGCGACGACGCAAAAAGCGCGACGAAGAAAAAGCATTAAAAAAAAAAAACAAAATGGAAGCGCATTCAAGAAACCTTTGGTTGTCGATAAAAAAAAAAAAGACTCACGATTCAAAGGATCCGTGTCCTTCTCCGTGCGACTCGATTGCACACGTTTGTGCCGAAACGTTCACACTTGCAAGTAATTGAAATGACTTCGCTCTGCGTTACGCAACAGTTGGATTTTTTTTAAATTTCTTAAATGCGTCTGACATCACACTTGTCGGTGACGAAACTTTTGCCCCGAATTAGCCACAATTGTGCGGGCTTGACGTGATTTCACGAGATGATTATCGCTACATCTACGTGGAAGAAATATAAAAGGACATAAGGTCGAAGAAAAAATATTGGAACGCACAAAAACAAGTTCGATGTAAAATTAATATGAGCAGCGGTAGTTAACATTTTTTTTTTTAAGTTAATTGCCGCTTATAGAGCTGTTGATTTCGGGCGTTTACGAATCTAATAAAGAACCCAACAAGAGGCGGGATAAAGGAGAATGGACGAGTGACATTTCCGTGAAAAAAGATCTCACACATTATATCGCATACGTAGTCGTGACGCGCGCAAAAAAAAACGAAATTAATGGTCCAGACTCCGCAACACTTCCAACACGCCAGCGGATGTCGCTCCTCGCATAAATCGTCGCGCTTCAGATATATTTTCCCTCACACACAATTTCGGATGTGTGTCCAGGTATGCGCGCACGGTAGCGGACCGGAGATTTAAATAACCGGAGTTTACGATCACGGGGTGTGCCTCTCCCCTTCTCAATCTTGCGAAACCTCGCGAACGTGTTCGCCTGTGTATATTATCCTCCGGAATTTATCGTCACGATAAATCGCGCCGCAGACTCGCTACAATATTGCAAAATTTCAATTCCACGCTATTTCGATGTTGGGACAGGTCGATTTTTCATATTTATCGCCAAAACGACTGGCCGGCGTGAAATTTAACGTGAACCAACGATTGACATGTGTAATTGATTTATTCGCGGCTTTTGCGTTTGAGACATCGCGACGAACTTAATTACAGTTCGCGCCGGCTAATAAGATGATTTTTGTGAACGCGATACATTCTTTCTGTCATTATACGCGTCGGAGAAAAAATATAATTGTTGTTGCTCGAGCTATGTCGGCCGTCGATTATAGCACAACACTTGACGCACGAATGAGGCGAATCAAGTGGCAACGTATATTTCGATGATTTTAGAAGCCGCGTCATCGTTAGGAGCGGGTCGGCAATCGATCACCGGGATATATTCCCCACGCTTGTGGCGAATTATACGAAGAGGATCCTCTTTTCGTCAAGGCTCTTTAATATCGCGTGTTCTCACTAACGTGCTCCTTTCGATCGTGAGATACTTCTGTGTGGCTTCTTCAACACTTACTAGAATCGTGTCAGCGCATTTAAATCTACTCAGCATAAATTTTTTTTTTTTTAATATTGTCAAATTGTGAGAACGTGCTTTATACAACATTCTTTGCAATTGCCGGTTTAGGTTATCTAAGTATTTTAATATTTTATAAAAATTATAATTTATCTTCAAAAAGCGTTAATATAAAATATTACACTACAAAGTATATAAAAAACAGATTTATACACCGTAATGTTTTTGAAAATTTTATTGTAAAGAAACTCTGAAACTGAGTGAGAGTTTGGTACGATTTTATATGTGTGAACCTTTGAAAGGGTCAGTCCCGTGTGTGTGAAGGTGAATGTCCCGTTATCGGTTAAATAGAAACTCGGTCTTTTTAGAAACGCATTAGGATGATCAAAGATGCCGATGGTCGAATTAGAGAGCACTGTATGAATCGAACGACGAGCGCTGCGCTCGCGTACGCATGTAAATCGAACTCGTTAATGGGATATAATTTACGGATTACAAGCACTCGTTGCACTAAAAAAAAAAAAAAAAAAGACGGGCGTTACTTCGCGAGATCGAGCATCAGTTGTCTGCCTCTAAACGCAAGACGATTAACGCGTGTGTTTACGCAATGCAAGATTTCGTTTTTTTTTTTTATCTCGTTCCTCGCGTAGATAAGTTAATTGACGTCGATGAGTAACGTGTAATTACCATCGTCGTGCTGGACGTAAATAGGCAATCGAAAGTGGAAGTAACGATCGCGATATCTCTCGTTATTAATAGACATTTGAACATAAACAAAAACGTTTTAATGTCTAAATGTGCGAAAATACCATTAAAAAATTTAATAAAATTCAAATTGTTAATGAAAACATTATTATCTTTCTAAGAATGTCGTATTTGTGAAAAAAAAAAAAATAAAATATATCTCCACGGGCTCGTCCGGGATTTGAACCCGGGACCTCTCGCACCCGAAGCGAGAATCATACCCCTAGACCAACGAGCCGTTCTGACTGGATCGTCGCTACAAACGGTCTAATGTAGTAAAACAGTTACGTCGTGCTAATTAACGATCGTATCAAACGATTAACCTGAAATATGTATAATTAATGTTTTAGTTACCACACAAAAAAGTCGAGTCACGCTCGTGTGCATGTTCTGCCTTACATTTATCTTGTAAGAAACGGAAACAAACACTCTTTATCTTCGAACAAAATTAAAAACGCACGTCATATGTGATTTTAGCTTGTAAGAATTTTCATCTTGTCAAAATATCTTCAATTGTAGATTTTTGTTGTCAAATTTGTCTATTAATATTTTATAATTTACTTACATTTACAATCTATATGTGTAAACATAGTGTATTTTACTTTACATTTCTTAAATAAAAATTTCTTACTTTCAATATATTTTCCTAAGAGATCTCTGTTTGTAAAATATAAAAATACATTATTAAAGCCGTGCAGGAAGTAGGAAGAACAATTGTGTGCGATTGATCGAGCCGGTGCGGCGCGCGAAACGGGAAGAGTAAAGAATCGGAGGCGATACGGAGCTTGTGGCGCCATCTGACGTCGGTGCAACAAATTTGCGTTGCGTGTTATTCGCCTCAGCCTCCCGTACATCTCTTATCGTAAAATAATCGACGTGTTTTGAGGAGTGCATGTGGTCTACAACAAAGTCGAGGAAAGGTCACGAAGCGTGGGTTGTGCAATTACTTTTCATCGCGCGAGCGTAATTGCGGGATCCGTTCGCGCAAAAAAAAAAAAGGAAAAACGCAAAAGAAGGGTGAGAGGAAGGAGAAAAATTCTTTATGTACTCGTTTTGCCTGAACCTTGTGTTAAGCGTAAAACGAGAGGGTTCGTGAGGTAAATTTTCAGCCGGGGGCTAGAAGAGTAGCTTTCTTGAGATGAAGTCTCTCTCAAGAGAAGATAGAGAAGAAGAGAGTGAGAGAAAGAGAGAACAAAAATTATACGTCTACACATAATTATTTTTTCGACTAATGGATGTAAAATATAACATCGTTTTCCTAATTACGTTCTATATTATAATCTAATTATGGCTTTTTAATCGTTATTAATTTTAATCTCTACACATTATTTATCACTTTAAATTTCATTTTTATTGACTCGCGTTTCACTATTGTTTCCATATTTACTTACTTATGACTCTCTTCGGCACGATTGAGGTTTTCACGCGGGAGAAAATTCCGACGAGCAGGTGAACGCGATCGCCGACGCGTTGTAAGCACTGAATTTAATTGACCATCGAGCACGAGTCGAGATCGCCATGTCGTCACGGTCGTCCCTCCAAGGACGTGTGTCTTGAGAGTCATCTCGTTACACGGGTACGTAAAGTGCGTTGATGTACTCGTTCAAGCCGAGTTGTAGAACCGGGTAACATCTCGCGCCGTGTAACGCAATCATTCCGACGCACAGCGGCGAAGAGCATCGACGTCTCGCATTAAATGTCACATTCTAAATAGCGAACTGTTACGTAAAGCGAGCCGTAAATCGTTCTCTTGATACAGAAACGAAGTCTACGACGTGTCGTCGTCGTCGTTGCCGCAGAGAGAATTATCAGACTTTCCCACGTTATTGTGCCCGAAAGAAAGTCACGAAAATGACCCTAATTCGTCGACATTAGACCGCTGCGAGGAAAAAAAGACATTAACTTGTCGCCGCGACGAAAATGAAAGTTGTTTATTGTTCGTATTTTTTCAATCTACCGTAATCGAAATATATTTTTTGTTAAAATACATATGTTTAAAAAATTGAAAAAATTAGAGAATTTATTTGTGTCGTTTGTTTCTTGTTTTCCTTTGTACGATACACACAAAGAAAAAAATGTCACTTTTCATTAAATACAATAAAATAAAATAAAAGAAAAGAAAAGAAAATATCATAAATAATAAAGAACTTTTGCAGTTGAGTTCTCGTGGATCTCATTTCTCTAGAAATGTATTTTCGTGACACACAAAACCCGAACAAAAGAATGATTAATGATTTCTGTGCGTTGACACAGAAAAGATCAAAAATCAGTATGTTTATTTTAACCCCAAGAACGAAAAAAGAATACAACCGATTACCTATAATCCAAATGTTAAGCAGATGAGTATAGAGGCAGGTAGGTAGGTAGATAGACTTGAAAGGGTAGGAGAAAACAGAAGAAGAAGGGAGTAGGAAAGAAGTTGAAGAAGAGAGGGTAACCTGTTCAGGCCCCTCCTTCGTCGGCCCCCACTGCGGGCTGGTGAGGGTTATCTGGCGGTCCGGTTGAGCCCCACCAAGCTTACCACAAGACCCACAACTCGTGCATGGACCGTGCACGACGGTCTGACGCCCAGTATGTCTATAAGGTTCATTCGAGGTGTACTTACCATAACGTACGAACGGCCTGATCGAGCCCGGACGAAGTGGGACCGTAGAAAATAAACGCGAGAAGGTGGGGGCCGATTCAAGAATCGAGTGGACACCCTCGCCTACCAAAGTCATTCACCTAACGGTCACCGTCGCGTCAAGAGTCTTCATCTTCTTCCGTTACCTGGTCGCACCAGACGTGATAGAGATCGTGTTCGTCGTCGATCCATTGACCCTTAACACAGAAGAGTCAAAGTTTGAGTGGGTCGAAGTTCACGCGTTCGGTGCTGTGTTGATGAATCCCCGTGGTGATCCCGATACGTCAGGAAACACGAATTTAGATACGTTTCGGAAAATGTGCGCGACCGCTTGTTCTCGATAAGCAGAAGATCAATAAAAAAAAACATCCATTTTGCGTTCTTGTAACAATTTGTTCTCAAGTGTGTAACTGAAAACTTTTGTGTCGTGTTGCTTTTACCTGTGACAGCTGTGATGTGACAGCGAATGTCACGTTGTATGCCTTGTAAGATGTGGTTCTTGAGAGCATCGATAGTAACGAAGAAGAGTGCCTCGGAAGCTTTATTTTCTTCAAAAGCCGATGGTGATTTGACGGAATATTCACTGTGAGACGAGCTGCGGCCGCATGCTGCCCGTATCTGCGCGACGTTAATTCACTGTAACGACAAAAGTACGTATTGTTTGACAGTCGTTTTCAATCGTCTCGTTGAATCGAAGTTGTCCACTCGAGACGCGCGAATCGGAAGATGATGTCGAATCATAATATTGGACAGAATCGGGACAATTCGCACTTTACGTCGCTGACTTCGACATTCAAGCTTTTTTTACTTTTTTCTCGTTTCTCAAGTTGTTTGATCCTGGTACATATATATAAAAGCTGAAAATAGGATAATATGTATTCTGTGGGTACGATGTACTGTCAAAAGTTTTAATAAATTACCGTACGAGTCATTAATTATTGAAAAATGTCCCATTAACCTTTTGCTGTTAGAAAGAGAAATACGGAGGAGAAATCGATTTATTCAAAACTATGAAAAAATATTAACAATCATTGACATCGTTCAATTCAACTAATGATGTCGAAATGACAAAACTTCCGATCGGGAGACACGCGATTCTGTGATTTAATTAATTCAAACGTATCGTTTTTTAAACATCGTGGCTCATTTTTAATGATATTGTGCCGCGTATTATCTCGTTGTATTATCTCGTCTCGAAAATGACAACGTGGTCAAGACTGCGAAAGCGATGAGAATTTGTTTCGGAATCGGTTCGTCGCGGATTAGACGATGAAGCGAATTTTTATTCGCGGTTCGTTACTTCAGTGAAGTAAGCTTCTACCTTCTTTCTTTTAAAGTAAAAAGAAAACATTCACAGTGTTGAAGTTTTCTCTCTCTCTCAAAAAAAAAAAATTCAGAAACAATATTGTTATGATAAAAATATCGTTTTCTAAGTAAGGAAGTGAAGAACCGCTCGAGGAAACTCCGTCGTTTCAATTTTACACAATTGAGAGGAATTCTTTCTGAATCTCATGAGATTTGGATGTAAACTAAATTCTATAATCGGATTTACCTGACTGTCGAACTCGTTCAGTGAAAAAGACAGCACGACCAATATCCTAAATATTTTCATATTTCCGCAAAGTCATCGTTATCTGGGAAAGAATTTATTTTACATTAGAATACGTCTATATTATTTATTATGAAATGTAACAGATTAATTTAATATTGGCTTACTAATGTTTGTAAATATTTATTTGAAAGAAATAACATGTGCACACATACATGTATATGCTTATAGTACACGAACATTAACTTTCTAAATTATCTAAATTCGAAAGCCATTACTTTTGTTTAATTTACACATCCTCATTTACTTTTAATGATACCTTAGCGAAAGATCATTATATTGATCATTATATTTCTTGAAGTACAAATTTACAAAAATAAAATTTGTTATAAATTTTCTTTAGATAAAAAAAAGAGATATTTTTTGTATATAAAAAAAATATTTTAATTCCTCCTTCGAATCTGTTAATAAGCAGAAATAAATAAAAAACAAACTGTGTAGTAGACAGAATTATTCGGCTTAACGAAAGGTTATTTACCTAAATTTGAATAGATTATGCATTAATTTGCAAACAAGAAATGTGACTCGGGTCGATCATCGGTTTCGCTTCGGGCAGAGCGTGGTTCATTGTGCGGAAGGGACTGCTCATAAACTCTCGCTTGGATACTGTTCAGTAAGGTAAAGCAAGCGGTCTTCGGACGATTTGTGTCCGTGCAAACTGTAGATTGGTTCGCAGCTTCACGTAGTGATGAATTGTTCGTATGTCGATTGGATGCCGGTTACGACAATAGAATCGGAAACGACACCGTGTCGTGCGCGATACGAAGGTCGATCGGTGGAGCGCGCATTGCGGAACGCCGCTCCGTTTCGAAAGAGCGGAAGTTATTCTTTGCAAACTGGAGCACCGCCGTTCGTCGTTCGAGATGAGATTGCGAGATGCCGGAGAGTCGCTTCCCCGCGGGCCGATCGTCGCGGCGAGCACACGACGTTTGATCGGAATCTTCTTCGTTCAGTTTAAGGCGAACAGGTGCACACGTAAGCGACAAAATAATCTTTTCTCGGTCAAAAGTGTATCCGAGCGATTTGTAATCAATAGAAAGAAATGCCGTCGGCCTGTCATTTTTGCGGCCGGCTTGAAGATGACAAATCTTTTTGTCAAAACTTTTTTTTTCAGTCTCAGATTTGTTTTCAAATGGAAATGACGATAGAAAAACTTTTAACGCAAACTCTTTTTCTCTCGATTTTTTTCTATTGAATAGAATAATTCCTCAAACTATTTAAGAGAGAGTCAGTAAAAAATTGCCTGTTCTGTCCTTTCGAATTCCCATGTCGATCAGAACAATGTGAGTAGAGTACTAAAAAAAAAAAAACGAGAATAGTAAACCGTTCTTTATGACGACCCTTAAAAAAATTTGTAGTTTTGTTGCGGAGAAAAGGGGGTGTCGTAACGGGAAAGTTATATAAGAGCAAAAGCAGTTCCGAATTTTACAATCGACGTCACAATTGTCAGTCAATCTGGCGTAAACCGTTAGCTATTGTATGTGCGGCACGTGACAGTTTGACAGCAGATATTGAGAAGAAGAGGTCACTTTGCCAATGTGTTTCCACGTTACGGAAGTGTTATGTATCTCACACGACAAAATACGAGTTCTTTCTTCAAGGAAATACGAGTCTATAAAAACTACATATTTTTTTGTGGAAAGGAAATATAGAGAAATGTAGAAAATATCGAAATTATTTCACTGAGAAAAAAGAAAAGTAAAGTAACAAATAAAATGTAATATATATTTTACTGAGAAAAATTAAGATGTGCAATAAGGAAAAAAGTGAAATTTATAATTTATTTTTATTCGAAATTTAAAAGAACGTGTAGTTGATTATGTTTCTAGTGTTTTTCCTACAGACACAATAAAGAAGAACGAACGTTGCGCGAGCCGCGGAAATCACGACAATTGATCGTTTTGCGACTGTCTTGGCAGATGCGCGTCCGAGTGTCTTGTCTCGCAGTCATCGCTGTCGATCGCCGGGGGAGCAGCAACTTCGCGAGTCGCGGGAGTCGTTACGATTCTCACGACTCTCGCGCTCGGGGGCCCGCGCCTGCGCCCGCTCGGTTGGCGAACGCAATCGCGCACCGCTCGCAAGGTCAGGTCCCGTGGCGGTCCCCCGACGATCTTGGCGATGATCGTTGCCGCCGAGATCCGTTCTTGGTGATAATCCGCGCCGAGTCCCGTCGTCGGAAGACGACGAGCGCTTATTATAGAGAGCACCTTTGCGAAGATCGCCACCGTCGATCGTCGGCGCGAATCGAAGACTCGAATAACCGTCTTTTATTGCCGACACCAAGTTCGCACGCTCATGCCCTCGAAAGGAGCCATTCGCTTCTGCGGCAATTGGCAAAGAGATGAAGGCTCTCTCGTTGTCGCGGGGTATGAAGCCTGGGTATAACGCGATTGTCGGGAAATTGAAGGGAAGACAGGGCCACGTAGCTTACAATAATAGCTTGTAATCTTAATTCCGCGTGCGCGACTCGCGAGAGCTATTACGATTACCGCGTCGTGAATCAGCTGTTTACATGCGCCAACCGCGACAGCCGAAGGCAAATCGACGTAACAAGTGCGCGGCGGTCACTTGTATAGTCTTGTCGAGAGTAATTGTGAAATTCCCAATTATATCAAATAATTATAGCGATTAAAGATAGCATTAATCATTCTGGGTAAAACCACTCCGTCTATACTAATGTAACATTGCAAAAAAACCTTATTTATACACATCATGTGTGAGTTACACATTGTTCTTCATTTTTATTTTTAGCGATTTATATAATTTATTTTCAGATATTTTTAACAAAACTTACGCGTTCTTCTAATTTTAATATCAAAATAAATACACGAAAAGTATCTTACACGAGAAAATAATAAATAAATTGATAATTTATACAATAAATAAAACGGAATGTAGTAATTATGAAAATATAAAAAAACAATTATAATTTATACTTTAATACTCGTATATTTACTTTTATAAATATTTACGTTTATAAATTTAACGATTTTTTTCATCCTTAGAATATCAACGCAATTTAATCCGCTAACCTCGTTCGATTTTATCTTGTGACATTCTACATGTACTTTGTTGCGAAATCTCGACACGACAACAATATCATTTAAACATCGCGATTGCAACGACGTGGAACGCACTGGTAATGCACAGGCATCCATGGAGTGAGACTTTATACAGTACCTGTTACCGGATGCACACTTCTAATCAACGCCGGTTGCTGTTGCTCAGGCGTCGTGCAATCCGCTTACATTTCTGACTCTCGTCTCGGAGCAAATGCTGCGCTCAGTTCTCACTTCCCTCCACAAAGAAATTAGATCAAATTAAACTGAAATACAGTAAACCTTGAGATTACCGTTAATGAGGTTATAGCGAATAATTCGACTACAATAGAGAAATTCTCGACAGCGTTGCTCGGTTTTGTCCGCCGTCGAGCGTCACCGAGCAAGCCGCGACACGGATACGCCGCTTTTTCGACGACGTTAGAAAATTATCGCGAACTGTGGTAACCGAACGATCACGTAAGAAGAGATATCTACCGAACGAGACGCAAAATAAATAATTTGAAATAACGAAGAGAGCGACGTCAAATAACAAGAGAGCGTTGAGAAAAAAATATAAATTTAATAAAAAAATAAACTTTTACTGTGTTTCCACTGTATTGCGATTGTCGAGTAGCGCGCGACGAGAGAAACGTACGGGAAGACGCGATTGCAAGAGGAAAAAAAATACAAACACGGAATTGCAATCGCGGGTCTGCGGGTATGCAGCGACGGCAGGAACGGCTGCGTCCGCGAATGATAAGTGTTAACGACTGTTGGGTGTAGGTCAGGAGAGAGAAGACCCCGTTGATCAAACAACATGGATGTCTCTTCCATTAGTTGAGATTTACTTTCCCATTTAGCGACAGTCCGTCACGTATGAAAGTCGAGTCGGAGGTGGGCACGGTTGTGCCCTCGGGCCGCGACAAACATCTGGGTCATCGCTATTGTCCCATATTTATGATCGTTTGACATTTTGGAAAGAAAAAAAAATATCGAAGGAATGTTAGAAATGTGGATTCGAACGAGCAATGGAAATTTTAGAAAATGTAGAGACGACACGTCGGAACACGGTGAAAACACTATGTGCGGCGCGTACTCTTCCGTTTCTGACCGCGCGGCATCGCTCCGCTGGTCTACGCAAATGCGCGTTGTGCAAGGGGATCACGGCGAGGAATAAAAGCGACGAGGTGTGAAAACGAGACCGCGGAGCCACGGTCCGTTTTCTGGACGATCGGCCAAAGAAGGCGAAAGGAACCGGCTCGCGTGAAACGAGTCGCGATAAAGAGAGAAAGAGAGAAAAAGAAAAAGAATAGAGACGGCAAAGAGAAAAAAAGCAAGCGCAAGAGTTTTCCGCTCGTTGAACGTAACACGCACCGCTTTGCCACGATTCAGCGATTCACGCGCGCGCGCTACACTGCAAAACGGCACATTATGCAACGCGCCTCTTCTCTTACTCAATTGCGCGCTCGATCGGTGCAGGCGCGCGATAAAGATTGCATTGCCAACTTGTCAAAGATACGCGCGTCCCGATCGATCTGCATTTTCGTTTCCGTTCGCGAAGAACGCGAGAGATGAGCTCTTTGCGCGAATGTTCCAACAAACTTTCATTAACAATATTAGTTTTTGTAAAATTTATTGTAAAATTCAGCTTATCTTAAAGTTAAATTATTTTTAATTAAAATCGTATTAATTATCACAGCAAAATCGACGTTGTTATCGATCATCTTTTGTTCTCATTATCGAGCATTCAGAAAACTCATTTTCGTCAAAATTCGTTTGCTCGCAAGCAATAATTATCCACAACACATTAAAACCTTTTTGATTTTAAATTATTATCAGACCATATTACGTGATTCTCAATCGCGTTTATTAATTCATTGATTAATATTCATTAATTAATATTCATAAATATAAATTATTCGGTAAATCACTTATGTAAGAATATGTCAAACGTCACACAAATTGCGCGACGGTATAATATTAGGGAGAACAAAGATAACTATATTGTTTTGTGAATCGGACAAAAAAATTCGTTTGAATGAATCCTATATACAAGTCTTTTATACTATATTTTTACTATGACTGATTTGTTTTTTTTTTACATATATGTATTTTTTACAAATATGTAATCTTATCTGTATGCATAAAATGTGTACATAATTATCTGTATACATAAAATTTAACTGGTACGTTCGACTTTCTCACATGTTTACGTGTACTATCAGCGAAAATATTGACGTAAGTAAGAGAGAACACTCTACATGAAGAGAAGATTTTGAAATATAACGATAAGCACACGTTCTACTAACAATAAGGTCGGAGCTATAGTTCGCGCCAGTAACAATCGAACTTCGCTATTGAAACGATCGATATATCTCTCTGTGGAAAAATGAAGCAATTCGTGACAGAGATCGTTCGTTCTTAGATTCGAAAAATAGGTTGCAGATTCAGTTGTTCCGAGTGTCAAATATATATGAAGGTTGAAAATTATTGTGTTGTTTCTTACTTTGTGCATAGGTACATGCACAGCTGCTTGTGAAATACAATTCGAATTCGGTTATAGTTAAAAACTATTGTTTTTCTGTTACAGATGAACCAGCAGTGCAAGGTATGCGGAGAACCAGCAGCCGGCTTCCATTTCGGAGCGTTCACTTGCGAGGGTTGCAAGGTGAGTCTTTTATCTTTTTTTGTGGTTTAAAATATTATTATTGACATGTTGGTAAATATGCAAGTTGTAAACTATCAATTAACGCAAGTTTCATACTTTCTTTTGCTGCCATTAAAAAAACTGTGTGCAACGTAAACAAAGTTATTCCTTCGGAAATGCAGCGAGCGTAAAAAATCGATTTTGAGAAAAAAACGCAGCACGGACGAAGATCGAGAAGAGAGAAAATCTCGTTCTTGATCGATCGCTTTTACTAACAGTCAAAGTTTTTCTCATTTGGTTGAGTTTTTTTCGCGGTCGACGCGACACGCCGCCGCCACGCCAAAGCGGAGAACGATGCTCTTCCTCGCGGTTTCGCAAAAGCACCGGTAGCGAGCGATATCGCTTTCACGAGCCGTTCCGAGGTTAAACGTTCGGCCAGGCATGCATGTCAACCCCGAATGTGCAGCGCGGGTTACAAAATAAAAAAATAAAATACATCAAACCCGATATCTTCTCGCGTCGGCGCCGAAGAGCCGCGCGCTCGAAGCGTGAGGCGAGCGAGAAAAACACGAGAACGGCAGAGAGACCGGGGGAGAATCGCGGGGGATCGCGCGGAAGAGGGAGAGCTGACATGCTACGATGGGCCTGAAAACGAAAATAACGAAACGAAACAATGTCGTGCTGACGTAACCGTGAACTAGGGCGGAAACAATTGTGGCGGACAAGTGCGAAGCGCCGGAAACGGCGTCTCGAGGCGGCCCGGCGATCGGAACGAAAAGGGGGATCTCTCGCGTGCGCGCACAGGACCCTTCTCTTCTTCTTTTTTCCGTTGATTAACTGGTCTTGATAATAGTAATGTAAACTCTGTTGCGCGTGAAATCACAAACATCGTAGCGAACACCGAGCGTTGTTCACTGTGAAATGTAAAAAAAAACGGCAAAATCAAAAATACGAATTTGTTCCAAAATTTGAATAAAAAACTTTCGTCTTTTCGACGTAACAGTTTGTTTAAATTTTTGTTTGTTTCGAAATCAGTTGATTTTCCTTCATTGTCGGCGTATTAAACTCAACTTTTCGAGAATTCAAAATTCGTCCGGAGCTAATGCGCTACGAAACAAGTGTAGAGCGGTGGCTTCTCCAAGTAGGACCGTTTGCGTAACTTCGGCGTGCACGACGCGAAGGGGGCGTGCGGTCGTGGCCCGGGGAGAGGAGAGCAACGTAATAACGGTAGCATTTTCTCAATTGTGTCATCGCTTCTGAAGCGTCGCGCGCGTTCCTTTTCTTTTTCTCGCGTGAAGTTACGTCGTTCGGTGGTGGAGGACAGACGTTAGACGACGAACGTTGACGGCGAAAATAAGTGGAACGCAATGCCGGCCCATAGGTCTCGGCAATGCGCGCATCGGGACCACCAGGCCGCAGGAAGAGCTCGTTTCCAGGACAAACGAACCAGAAACGATTAATAATATAGCGTGCGTATATGTATGTACGGGCAGAAAAAGCGAAAGTGGACAACGCGGCCGCGTGCGCGCGCGCGTCCCTTTAAACGCCCGTCGATTCGCAATGTGATAGTTCGCGGCGTGTCGAGCGACATATAAATCGCGGCGATTGGGAAATTCTAGCTATATCAATTCAAGCGAGGCGAGCCGAAACTGCTGTCTTGCAACAGTCCGGCTGTAAAAAAAAAAAAAAGCAACAGTTTGCAATGTAACAATATCTAATACAAAGCTTACTTTAAAAAAAATCAAACATACAATCAATATAATGTGTTAATACATTCTTCGAGTTGACGTTCACAAAACTTCCGTAGCGTAAAATTTGTTTCCAAAAAAAAAAAAAGAAAGTAAAGTGCGTCGAAACGACGCTACTTATTTTGGTCACAATGTAGAGCAATGATGTTTGCGTTTTTCTACGTGTAAAGAGCGCAAACACACAAAAGGGGGAAGGATCGTTGTTCTCTATCTCCGGCACAAAAAAGCAACCAGCGCGGTGTCGGAATCACGTGGAATTGCACCATTTGGGCAATTAGCACGAGAACAGCAGGCCGCGCACGCGTCTCCGAGCGTCGACCTCACCACACCTCCCCCACCCCCGCGCTCACACGATATGAATGAGACAACGAGAGCGTACGGTTACACGCTAACGACTCCGCCGTTGTACTTGTTACAAGTGTTACAATGCCGTTGCAGTGTCGCACTGTTGTTTTTTTTTTTTTTTTTTTTAAGCCTTTCGACATGTCGTCTCCGTCGGAACGTGGCTTAAATGATGATTTTGCGATGACAAATCGATATATAAACGAATCGACACTAATTAAAATCATCTTGCAAATATATTCGTAAAAATACACACGTGCGATGTATAAAGATTATAACAAAACTATTCCCAGTAAAACTACGTAGCGGCACAACTCTACTTTTTTATATAAAATGTACGTAATGTCTCGTATGCAATTTAATTTTTTTTTGTCACTGTTTTGTGACTTAATATGTGATCGAACACACATTTTCCATATACCTATAACAGAACATTAATTAATCGGTTTGTTTTTGTTATTTGTTTTTGTTGCAGTCGTTTTTCGGACGCTCGTACAACAATTTAAACAGCATCGGCGAATGCAAAAACGGCGGCAGCTGTATAATAAACAAAAAGAATCGTACCGCGTGCAAACCTTGCCGGCTGGCAAAATGTCTCAACGTCGGCATGTCCAAGTCTGGTTCGCGCTATGGTCGCAGATCGAATTGGTTCAAAATCCACTGTCTGCTGCAAGAGCAGAATCAGCAGGAGCAGAATCAGATACAGCAACAACTGGAGCAACTCCGTCCGCATTATCATCCGTCTGTTCTCCGTGAGCAACAGTTGCAGCACCAGTTGGCGCAGCAGCAACGCAGGCCCACGACTTCTCCCAGCACTCAGAGACGAGGAGACGAGAACATCATGCTTGGTCTGGACGAATACAAGAACTCGACCTCGCCCAACGTCAGCTCGCCGAGCGGTAGCTCCAACAGTGACGGCTCCGTCGAGATCTCCGAGCGAAGTTCGGCGATTTCCGGACATTCTTATCGGCCGCCGCATCCGCTGCCGCTGCAGAGTTTGCCGTTGAATTTTCACCTCGGTATGCCATTGCTGCCACCACCTTTTCTGTCGCCGTCCAGTATTACTTTAGGATTCTCACCCTATCATCTGTACGGACCGCAAGGCGCGTCTCATCCTCTCGTGATGCACACTGCATCCAATATGTTGCGACACACGCCGGGAACGCCGGCAATCGAAGAAGTTGATAGTTTCTCGAGGTCGTCTGCGACAACAACAGTCACGACAGATCCATCCAAACCTTCCACGTCGACCGCCAACACTGACCTTTGTGACAGCAGCAATAACAACGACGAATTCTATTCGAATCCAGTTTGCGACAAGGACCGAGCACCGACGCCGAAGCCGCGAAGTCCCGAGAATCGAATATTAGAAATGAGTCCCGAACGAATGATTTCGTTGCCGCAAGACGATCCGATAGATCTCTCTATGAAAACGCAGATCGACGAGGATAGCGACACAGAGTGCTTGTCCTCGAAAAAGCCAATAGACTTAACGACGAAACCTTAAGCCAATCAAAATCATATTAAACAAAAATTAAATGATTTCAATCATTCAAATTCAACAAAGAAAAATTGGATGATTTCAGTCATTCAAATTCAACAAAGAAAAATTGAATGATTTCAATCATTCAAATTCAACAAAGAAAAATTGAATAATTTTAATCGTTCAAATTCAACAAAGAAAAATTGAATGATTTCAATCGTTCAAATTCAACACAAAGAAAAATTGAATGATTTTAATTATTCAAAGCTGATTTTTTGTTATTTTGCTACGTTAACCAATGCAAATTATTTATGTTTGTAAATAAGAAAAAAATTGCGTTAAAAATATTATTAAAACTATTGTTTGTTGAATATGTAACGAGAACAATTGTTTAAGTATTGCTATACTGATCGGCAATGAATCGTTCCGCGACAGGAAGAAGAGGAAAAATAAATTTCTCTTTTATGCGTCGATCTCTTTTAGCCGCAATCGATCAGCTGTTGATAGATGGTTTAAAACGACATATAGAAGAAGAAAGTCCTTTTTCTATTGCAAAAACGATTTATTGCATTCTTCTTGTGTACATTGAGTCCCAGATGCGACTTATATTTGCAGTGTGTACTTAGGAAACAATTTTTCCAGAAATAGTATCAAAAAGTATATAGAAATCAATTTTCATTAAAAATATGTATCGTAATAAAAAAATATTATATATACTTAAATATTTTTTTAACTTCATAAAACGATTTTTTAATAAATTTCCCATAAACCATATTACCATAAAAGATCATGAAAAGATCTTGCGCGCGTTCTCTGTTTCAAGAAATCAGAAAACAAGCCGCGAGTTATAAATATATCACTTAATTGCGTAGGAAAACGGAATTTCTATATTTTCACTATGTTTCACACAATGCAAACACGAAAGGAATTGTTGGAGAGAGAGAGAGAGAAAAGGAAAGAAAGCGAGAGAGAAAAAGACCGATATAAAACATTTTGAGAGTTACTCACGTGTTGATGTCGCGAGAGTGCAAGTTCTACAGGATCTAATCTGTAATTATCTTCTAGCACGCGTATTATCGTATCCTCTTGTCGAACTCTCTCGCGATTTCCTCTTCCCGTTCCGGATAATTCCGATCGTGTGTGCGCACGTGTCCAAGTGTCAAGCGAGCCTTGCGGAAGAAAAAAAAACTTTGACACGCGACATCTCAATCCCGAGGTGAGCGAGACACCGATCGCGATGTTGCGTAACAGCCAATCAACTTTAACGAGATTCCGCCGTTTTAATTAAAAAGCGCGCGTGGTGCTCGATCGCGCGGCAATCACGCGGAACGAAGACAAACGACGAAGAACACATCATGACAAGCGTCGCGTCCGATAAACACATCAATGCATGCGTGTGTGAATGTTTACGCCGGCACCACGTTGTACACGTTACACCACATCGATAGCTGTTTTATCTTTACAAATGTCTATATCAATGTCACTTCCGTCAATATGTTATTCTAGTTATAGTCTTCTTGTCGTTGCGGAAGCTGCTATGAGAAGAAATCTTGAAAATATTAACGCGACACGATGTATTTATTCTCCTCTTGTTCATTTATTTTTTGTTCTTCTTCAAAGAAGGATAACAGAACTGTCGGTTATAACTCTCGGTGAGGACAAATGAATGAAAAAAGAGGTCCAGACTTCACGGTATTAAGTTATTATGTAATTTGTATTTCTCCTTCGGGATGGGATTCACCGCGAACGTCGAGAATCTCGAAGATATATATCTTTCTTCTCTCGAATTTTATTTCTCTCTTCTTCCCCTCCTTCTTCCCCCTCGTTTGACTCGAGTCTTCTCACAAGTCACTCACGGACAATATACTTTTGTCCCAAGTGCTAACACAAACGACGAACACAGCTTCGCTTTTAAGGCGGAATCGCGATACGATTTGTAGACCCGTTCGCGCCGACCGGTAGTGCCTTTCTGGAATTTAAAACAGGCCGCGCGCGCCCAAGGCAGAGAGTGTCGCGCGTAGACGAGAAAATCGTCCGAGTTGTGTAGTATGTCGGCTACGCGTCACGGACGATCAATTCTTTGAGATTTTCATCGGAGAAAAAAAAATATATATGTATAGATTGAGAGAACCTGGTAACAATTGTATACGCGATGGTTCTATTAGTTCAACGTACAGTACAAAAGTTTTCGCAAAATCAAACACACACTACGCGATGTAAATACAAATGATCTCGCAACGAATTAGAAATAGTCGCGTTAATTACGTAGGTGCCAAAAAAAAGTAAACTTGTGCCTTGATACAATTGATGCCAAGCTCTCCCGCATTACCATCTTGCGCAAACGTAAGTTACATTAACACATGCAATTGTAAAAAATGCAATTTTAGTATAAAATTTGTACATATATATATATATATATATAGGGGGTACACAGATGTATAGCGTTTTCTTTCCTATAAGTACGTTTTTGTTTCGTAGTAATACATCCATCTCGAGATTCCATAGATGTATGACTGTGAAATAGAGAATATTTTACAATTATTGTTGATCACTGTTGACGTCGCGTCTCGTTTTAGGCGCTTCTTGTAGATTTGAACGTAGTCAATAAAGGGCCAGTATTGTATATCACTATGTAAGAAAAATCGTTTTATTCCAATTATGTACGTACGTATGCGTGTATACAATTGTATAAGTTATATACATATATAATATAAAAAAAAAACATCGATTAAATATAATAAAAAAGAACATTTATAATAAAATTATCTATTTATATAACAGGCGTTTATTATATTTAATTGATGAAGTAAATATGTGCGTATAGTCAGAGGTGCACGTTTACATTAAGAGACATGTACATTATTTCGCATGTATTGTTAGATAGTTGATAAGATGGGAAGTTTGTAAATAAACTTTGGCATGGCAATAAAACGAACAACGGCATGGTTTGTGGGAACGGGACCGGGGCCAGTAAGCACTTGTATATGACACATAGTAACAATAAAATGTTGTTATTTTACCTATTTTCATAAAACCCATTAAACGGCCAATTCGGGATAAAAAAAAAATTGTTATTTTTGAACTTTTTTGGTGTAGTTTGTGCTAGAAAGAATTTGAATTTAGTAAATCACATTTATTAAACTACTGTGATCCAAATTTTTATCGCGCATAAAGTGAAGAATCAATTTATACTTTCGATCATTTTTCAATGTGTTACGAAGCATTGTTATACAGATAAATTACACTTTTCATTATGTGTACGATTCACAACAGTGTCTAAGTTGCAATTAGAAGTGGAAGGCATTAGTAACACCTACCGCACGTGACGTCATAGCATAATCGGCACTAGTAAGTCTTGTTATGAAGTGAATACGAGGAATTGAGTCTCGCATCTCGACGTTAATGTATACGCGAATTCACGGCAAAAAAAAAAGAAACAACCACGACAATATGTAGTCGGGCTAAGCTGAATTTGTAAACGTAACTGTTTAACGTAGTAATGTCAGGTGACAGATGGCCGCATTTAGTCGTAATATATCTCGATATGAATATTCAACGCGTACGTATGCCAAGTATACTCGGACGGTTTCATGAATACACACATCCGCGTTGCCTTACGTATGCTTTTCGCAATGTTCTGTTTGGCGAACATACAAGTCGTGCATTACGTACAGAGCGGAAACATAGGTAGGTATATGTACTTTTGCCGAGACTATTAAAGAGACGATTGAGAGTATGACATAAGTATCAAAAACGATCTAATATTTATTCGAGAGATTGTTACACAAAAAATATCGTATAATTTTTACACATATAACATAAGATAATCAGTCTTTGAATTAAGTTGTTTTAAAAATATATATGTATGTATAAAAATGTGATTTTCGTGATAAAAGTAGAAAAGTTTTTCTCTCGTTTTAATATGTAATATCAAATATACATATATATATATATCAAAATATAATATATATCATGAGAGAAAAAATAACATATAATAACACTTACGTGAGAACTTACTACAACAAAAATGATGTATCATTGCAAAAAGTTTTGCAAGTTTGCTTCAATGATTGGATTTAGGAGCAGGGTGGCTAGGAGTGAATACTTCATAGTCAACCACTGAAAAGTGATAATCGCCCATAAGCAGTTGACTCGAAGCGTGATCTCCATCGTAACTGTGAGGAAGATTGCTGTAGCTTTCCTTGTTGACGTTGCAATTGCTCGATATAAGCAGATCGGCTCCGGCGCCAAAAATAGGTCCTATGCTGCAATGCGCAAATTACATTAAATCAAAATAAATTTGGGACAAAAACAGGTGTGAGAATCATCTACACAAAATTGCGGATTCTCACTCTGGATGGTAGCAGATTGCGAATGATTTTTTTATAATATCAAATTTCGTCGGCGGCACGTCTTGATTGTTCGTCAACGTGAAAAGAAAACTCTTGTCCGAAGCGATATATTGCGCTTTAGAATTGGTTTTGCCCCATGGAACGTCACTGAACCCTCCGCATATTTCACCGCGTACTCCCTGAAGTGACAAATAACAGAATTCGTGTTTTTTTTCAATAAAAACACAAATGTTGAGAACAAAATTTTTACACGTACCAGCACTATTACGTATGTTGGGCAGATGTTATCACAGTGTCGATGAAAAGATGCAGCGGAATAACCATGAGTAGAAGCCCTGAAGAAAGATCAATGTGTGTTTGTAAAATACAGTTATATAAGTCAAAGTTTGATTTTTTGTAAATTTTTGAAACTCACCGATAGACCAAGCGCCAAGTTTGTTTGGACACGCCGTACCACTGATTCAGGAGCCGTTGGAAACCAACCTTGTCCCTGAGAATCTGCGAGCCCGGGAAAAGAAATGGACTTACTCGCGGCTGGAGCCGCTTGTCGGAGCATATCTCGGAATACTTGTTCGGCAGAGCTGCATACCTATACCTAAAGTGAAACGTCGAAATCGAAGGCGATACCGCCACACGGTTGGTGCCACCCTGTTAGATCGTACCTTAAAAATTTTGAGCCGCTCGATCGATCGGGACTGAAAAATTCGTACCTCTCCAACGACATCTCTATCGGCACAGCCCCCGTCGGCTCCACTTCCTCCGCGAACACCTGGCTGTCGATCAACAACAGTCGTACATGATTTATCACACCGGACAAATGCTGGCACACTCTCATGCGCTCCTCTTCAGTCCAGTGCTGAGTAGGCTGCGTCACTCCTGCCTAAAATAGCGACGCTTGTGATTTAAACACCGTGTTCTTGACATTTTAGGAGATATCTTTAGAGGAGAAAAAATATTATATATCAAACTAAGCAAACCTGATATTTAGCCCAATTGAGAACTGCTCGCCATACCTCCTCTTCTTCTAATCCGAGATAATCGGATGATATCAATTTGATTAGGGCATCTTTTGGAAGATTACAGAATGCTGTTGTTTTCACTGTATCCACAGCATTCTCACCAATGAAGGTAAAACATTTCTCAATAAAAGAAGAACATGCTGCTTTTCCACCTAAAGAATAAAAAATAACAGATCTTAGGTACTTAGAAATTTTTTTTTAATTATCTTAAACTGTTATTTGTATATACTGATTTGTAACACTGAATGTAACTAAATAAAAAAAACCTTTAAAAACTTCTGCAATTTATTGTAAAAATATTTCTATATATATTAAAAGCAAAATGGTTTAGTTTAGATAAATCAGCAAAATTAGTACATACTTTTACATACAGCAATGCTTATTGGTTCACTGGTTTTACAAAAGATAAACTTGTAGAGTCAGATATTTTTAGAACATTTAAACAGATGAATTGATTTTTGCCATTTTTGTTTGTAAATATGTATTTCCTCAAGTGTTACATCTTTCTACTAAAGATAGAATATCCAGTTTAAATTCATGTATTTCAATTAAATTTTTTGAGGATAATAAAATTAAGTAGATAAAAATACAAATGTAATTGTATGTAACAAAAACTATTTACTCATTCTTTGTACACATTTCTTTTATCTTTCATAGCTTCACACATAATACATGTTCAGACTGAGCTTTTACATACAAACTTTATCATGGTGCAAAATATGACATTCAAAGTAACATTCTCATACATATATCTAGTATCCAATCACGCAATACAGTTTTAATCTCTATAGAGTCAATACGCATTTGTCCGGAGTCTTTTTTGTATATAGTCCAAAGATATCAAGATGTGTGATGATTCAGAAGAAACCAAGCTTGGCGCCGGGTTGAGGTTATGTTCGTCCCGCGCCGTTAGTTTCCTCCGGGATTGGTGTTCTGTATCAACGTGATATTGTCACCCTTCAACATGATTCGTCCGAGCGGCTTCCTGTTCTTCGTCTTCATGTGGTATTCCTCGGCGTCGTCCAGCACCAGGTTCATATATTCATCAAAGCCGACGATGTGACCCTCGATACGCAAGTTTACGTTCTCGAACAGCCAGACTTGTACGCGCGAGCGATTTTGCAGATATCGAAATATTAGGTTGATGGGCTGAACCATCACCTTCTGTACCTTTTGTGGTCCTTTGTACGACATTTTTGTGTCTTGTTCAAAAATTGACGAAGAACAACAGTCCTCAAAACAAATTTGTTTTTACTGTGTTTTTGATGATATCTGGAAGCGTGGGACGCACACAGTGATACCAACGTCAACAAATATGACTATGTTCTCTACAGTGATGCTGATTTTAGTTTTTTCAGCGAGAAGCCTGAGAGCAGCCACGTCTATAAGAGAATGTGTAATCACTTTTCCGCCCCGTAAACTAGCGCATGTCCGCGAGTGGTACACATTGGAACTACGCAGCCAGTCCACGAGCGACACGTCGGTGCGCTATGTCCACAGCGTGCGGTTCTATTCTGTGCTATGTGCACGAGTTTAAATGGTCACTTTCTTTAAGTGTGTGAGTATATTCGAGAGCGATATATATATATGTAGTATTTTTAAGAAAATAAAATAAAATTTATAAANCACAGAGCAGCAAATGATGATGTAAAATGAGGTGATATTTGACTACACTCCACGAATTCTGATGTTGCTCGCTAAATTAAGATTCTTTTCTTGACTATCACATTTTTTCTGGTATATCACATTTATGTTGTACGAAAAGTTGCAATGGTTTTTCTTATCCTTTTCTGTTTTCCTTTCTCATCTTCTCATCACGAGATCGGTCATTTTAAATTTCAAAAAAAATCAAATTCACGCTCTCGAATATACTCACACACTTAAAGAAAGTGACCATTTAAACTCGTGCACATAGCACAGAATAGAACCGCACGCTGTGGACGTAGCGCGGAATAGAACCATGTCCACCAGCGCACGTACCGACAAGTCCTCGTGGACATGGTTACGTAGGTGCCAATGCGCACCACTCATGGACATAGCGCTGGCTTACAGGACGAAACAGCTATTACAGTTTATTATATAGCTCCTGCTGCTCTCAGTCTTTTTCCTGCTTTTACCAGATTTGAAGCGATATATGGTGATATCGATTCTTTTGATATTTCGAGAATCGAGGAACGATATTGCGATTCTCGAAACTGAGTGGTCGCCATGTTGTGAGACCGTCGCGGCGACAGTAAGGAGTCGTATTCGAATTGCTCCGTTTTTTTGCGAGTGTTTTGTTAAAAAAAGAATCGTGTTCGCGATAAATTCTTACGAGCGTCTCTCATAAAGTGATAAACGTTTGAAGTAACGTGTTAAATATCGCGTACAGTCATTATTGTAACATTACGCGTATACACTTGTGCGCGCACAGTGAAATCGCGACTTGAAATCTACACGATGTGTTTTTACGTGCTCGAATTGACCCAAAAATTGTGTGCATTTCGCGTTTTTTCGTCAAAGTGGAAGAGAAGTGATGTGGATATACGATGATTATTAGGTATTTTATCATTTTAAAATTGTTTATGTGTATTATATATGTACATATATTTTCTATCTTAACTAGAAAAAAAATAAGCAAACAAAAATTTCACAATAGCGTACTTTGGCATTTTGAGATTTTATTACGCGCATTGCATTAATGTAAATAGAATACCAGTAAAACAATATCATTAGTAATACCGGTACATATAACTTTTACGTGACAAACTTCAAGTTAAAAGAATTCTTAAACAAGGAAATGAAGTCTGACAGACATAGTACGCGCGCGCGCGGTTTCTTAAATTCTAGGTATCTATATCTTTTTATGTTATTTCTATACGCAGGCGATGTACCGTGGGACGTGCATCGAGATCGTTCGTAAAGTGCTGCCGAGAACGTGAAAACATGATGAAACATGGCAACCGATAAAGACGAGCTCTTTGTTTCTTATGGTGAGTAATATCATTTTATGCGAAGCTTTACACGCCTTTTCAAAGATGATATAACTGGTCAAAAGCTGTCACAGTGCGCAAATCGATATTGCTTTATTGCGTGTATATGTAGAACAAAATAAATACCTGGAACTCGTTCTTGAGCTTCCAAAGCGGCTGTTAAAAGCGCACACGCGTTCCCAGGACTTAAAGTAGTGGATACGTGCTCCTCGCAACTTCTCCAAAGTTCCTCGATGCCAAGTTCCTGGGCCAATCCCAGCATTTCGAAAATTCCGCTATCTTGCAATATTATCTACAATCATTTAGTTTAAAAAGATGTTAGTTTGACCGTTTATCCGAAATCTGTCATTTTCCGTCAAAATTTTGTTGTTGTTAAAATACGGGTTTATAAATATACAAATTCTTTTAAAGTAATTATATCAGTAAAATATCATTCAAGTTATATAAAGAGTTTTTTCTAAATTTTTTGCGTCTCACTATCTTCGCTATAAATAAAAATATATATCGTATTCAAATTGAAACAAAAAACAATGGGGAGAAAAGTGTTGTGTGATAAAAAAGTGTGATAAAAAAAAAAACAAAAAAATAAAAAAACTAAAAAAATAAAAAAAACAATGTTGCAAGATCACGTACGTTCGATCTTGTTAACTGCGTGCGCAGAGCTATCAAATTGCATAATTGATACCCACCATACCGGTGTAGATGTAGCGAATAAACTGGCGAAACGTTTCCGGATGAGCGTGCGGCATTCGCACCGGTGTCGGATTCCCGGCGGTGCCAATCCTCTTGGCGGCTGTGAAATTCTTGCATCTGAAAAAATGATTTTTTTTTTTTTTTTTTTTTCAAAAATAAACGCGACAGTATCGATCGCTGTTGCACGTATACCGAGCTTTGAACAATCTATGACTCTCTGGCGCGTCTCCCCAAAGCAAACAAGTGGCGCGATGCTGCATCACGCTAGTTTTCGCACGGTGCCTCTCGTTATATTACGAAAGAGCTTAATTGACTTCGTCACGAAGCAGGGACACACGAAACCGAGTCACGACGGCAGAAGTGCGCTCCATACCCACCCTTAGAAAGGCGTTCTCTTCAGAAGCACCCTTTCTCCCGTGCCCCTCCCTTCGCTAGGAACAAGATAGCGAACGAGAGAATGCGTGGATCGAGAGAAACTTCCCCTATCAAGTGACCTATTAATTGTTCGATCCAGACCCTTCGATTCGTACGACAAATTACGCTATTGGCGTAATGAACGCGAAGATATGCAGGATAAAATAGATTACCAAATTCGGGGATGGCTTTCTGTGTAATTTAATCGAATACTTTGACAAAGATAATTTACTTTAACTTGCACCACATATGAGCAAATATGAAAATAAATTATTTATTAATATTATTTAAAATATTTTTTCAGACACTATAAAAAAAACGTAGTGTATGTTTTCTCTCTATAAAGGCGTAAATAAATAAACCGTTGGTGATGTTGGAAAATATCGAGTTTCTGTTTTAATCTATTATTCGAGCGCGCGTACCTCATTTTCACCTCATATTGACAATGAGTGTGTATAAAATTCTGTGACACAATGCAGCGCGATAGAAACACCTCGCGCATATGTGTTACCGTTCTTTAACAGTGTGTCGCGATGAACATGTCGAAACTAGAGAGAACTGGTGTATAATTAAATGAGAAATCGAATAAACGTCGCGTACAGAAAAATACAGTACTACATTCCAACGGTATCCTATTGACCCCCTCAATATATCAGATCGAAATTGAATTTACGAGATGGAGTGTTTTCCAACAACGCAAAAGGAAAGAAAGAAACGGGAACAGCTCGGTACAAGAGCTCCAACCCGACAGACGGACGAGCGTAAATTGATTCGTTTTTCAATCGACTCAGACAAGCTTTGTTTTCATTCCGCGTGGTCTTAGCAACGTTAATTAGTTTTGCAGACAGTGTTCTGCGGAAAGAAAAAGAGACTCATGATAATTTGTACTTTGATAACGAAGCTCGAAAGTTAATTCCGTTAATAGTCCTTACCGTGTTATTCTTTACCGTCTCTTATTTTGCAAATATATATATATATATATGTATATATATGTATATATTCGTCGCGTCTTCGTTAATATTCCCCTTTTTATTATGTACTAACAATTTCTCATTAAAAAAAATATTCTGTATATACACCTGCGCGCCTAATTATCCAACTTTAATTAGTTTTATCTGAAATTTAGAGATTACAGTGTATATTTTATCTGGAGTTTAGAGAATACATTGTATATTGTATATATTGATATTTGTACTAGATAATTCATATTATCTCAAATATTATTAGTTTACAATATAATCGATCAATGTTAATTGTGTTTATTAGATAACCGATACACGTAAATTAATACGATGTAACGTATGCATTATTATCTTTTTGATATATAGATTTCTGATCGATGTCTGTAAAACAGACAGAAAAATTTACACATCTATAAATTACATAATTTTCGATAAACTTTTATCGTGCAATTTTTTTGCCTTAGAAAATTCGTTTGTACGTCGTAATATTATTTGGAAGGTATGAAAGAAAGAAATTGGAGACTGCAGGATTGTGTAAAGTGCCGTGCGATCGCGCAAAGTACATCGGCGCTTTCCATCGAATCAAAAAAGAATTGTGTCAAAGGCCGCGGAAACGCAGCAGCCTTTGAAGTCACAGCTTAGGTCGCGAACTGGCGCCGGATGAGAAGCACGCGAAAATATATAACAAAACGCTTAGGTCGCACGAAGGAGAAACCCCGAGGTAAAGTGGATGAAAAGCACGCGGAAGTACAGACGAACGGTTGCACTAGTCTCGGTTAAGCTGAGCGTTTTCGACGGACGTGGCAAAAGTTTCGAGCTCTCGACGTGAAACTCGAGAGTGTTGGCAGTGCGTACGAAATCAGAGAAGAGAGGGCAAAACGATGTTTATCCGCGTAAACTGGTGTTTCGTAAACTGTGGTTTTACAAGAAAATATTGTATACGAGATTACGTGTGTCGCGAAATTTCTTAATCTCGATAACGGAAAGTCGCACAAATAAATTACAAATTGCAAACTTACTTACGTGTACCTAATCGTTAGAAGACACTACGATTAATTCTTGCTTTGAGAAAATCTAGTTGTTGTCTTTTGTATAAAAATAAATATCGAATGTGTATTTAGTCAATGTTGCAACGTGTCGCAAGCGATATGTTCATCAGAGCAAAAGAAAAAAAATACTTTACCGTCTGATTTTTTCTCTCGACATCTGCGATTGTCGTTCGACTTTTTAGCCCCATTTATTCTCTCTCTATCTTTCAACGGAACTCTATCGAAGTGACGATTATCCGGGAAAGAAGGTGTGTGAAGGGGATCGATAATACGCGCGCGCTCTTAGAAAATTTTATTTCCGCTTTTTTTCAGCTAGACTATCTCGTCACGGGCAGACGAGTCCTCGAGAACGCCTCTTTATCACGATTTTCAATGCGAGAGAGCGTCGTAAAGAGTTTGGGCGGCGCGGTAGCACGCATTGTCCGTTCGTTTCGACCGCGGACATCTGTCACGAACACGCGTAACTTAATTTTCCCGAGCCTCGCGCTGCAGCGCACCACTGAATCGAGTATAACGCCGGAGGGTGGAGATGACGGGGCGATGACAAAGGTCTCGCTGTTACTTTCCGCGCCCGATATTAAAGGGATTCGCGGAAATGTCATAATTGACTTTACAATTAGCGCCCGTCTTGTCTCTCGATGCGCGCGCGCCCAACTCTTCGCGAACGCGCAGTTCTTCGTCCCATCTAAATATCCGTTCTTACAAATCCAAGGTGAGAGAAAGAGAGACATTACGCACGCGTACACGAGAGACGTATAGCTATAGAAATCTCCGCGGGATTCGAGAAAAGGAGAACCGCTCCTCTCGTTCTCTAACTAATTAGAACAACCGATCGATTCTCTTCGTCGTGACTGTCTTCATAAGCTGTAACAGGGCTCTTTAGTTAAGATTCATTGCCGGCACGAACTCCGGCGCCCCCACGCCGTTCAATAAGTTGCTGCTTCTTTCGACAGAGAATTTCGCGTTTCTTCCCGTTATTTCCAATATAATATTTCCCCGCGCGCGCGTTACAACTGACGAGCTTTGTTCTTTTCTATCTGCAGCTAGCGCGAAAGGAAACATTTGTCGTGTTTTTCGATGGAAATAAAGCGGCTTTGCATTCGCTTTGATGTCGCAAATTGATTATTGATGAACGGCCCTTTTTTTATACACACCGTTTCATTTTGCATTAAATTCAACTTTGATTATGATGTACATCGCTTATTTGCAAATTTTGTCACCAATACTCACACAACACAACAAGTATATACGTATTACGAAAATGTTTTCTTCATTGTATTCAGAAATTTGTATACGCGCGTGTATATTGAATTTTCCGTGACATTTAATCGCACGTGACGATTAATTTACGGGGTTTATAAGCTCCCTGAGGAAATCTCTCTCTCTCTCGCTTGACAATATATCTGATGTGCGCGACGGAACGTTGAAGCAAAAATTACTATTGCAACAAATAATCCAGTTACAAATAATCCAGTTCCCAGAGGGTGTCACGCTTGGTGTTCATTTATCGAAGTAACCGACTGCATGCAATTTCGTATTCCTGTCGGGAATACTGAGAAAATATAGCTGCTCCGCACAGAAATCATCTTATCAGGTCTTGTGAAACATAGCGAGCAATTCATCGGAGATTTATCTTCGAACGAGTCACTTATCAAGATTTCTAATTACCGTAATTACGTTGTGTGACTTCATATAGCCACATATTTTCTTGACGACAGAGAGTTTAAATATTTCCGAATAAATATCGTCTAAAAATTTCTTCGAGACGCTAAAAAAAATCCATTTGCCGTAACATCTCGGCATCTTATTTTTAACGCGAATTGAGGGCGGAATGAATGTTTTCATAAATTATGGCTCGTTAAAACCGACCTGGCTTGAAGTATAATTCTGTGAGCATAGACCGGGGTCTCGTCCCTTCCTAGGAGAAACACGATATCAGCTGAGTCCTTATCCTCGGAGAGCCGCGCCAGATCCTCCAGTAGTCTCGGCACACCAGCCAATCCCGCTTCGCCAGTCATCCCAACAGCACCTGCCGCCGCTGCAACGGCAACGGCTCTAGTTCCCATTGTTTCCGTGCTTGTCTCTATAAAGACAATCGTTAATCAAAAGTGAATTAAGTATAATAACGTCTTGCGTAATTAACAAAACAAATCCTTCAAGAAACCAACTTGTTGTCCGCGTTATAAATGCCGGCATTGCGCGCGTCTTTCTTAATTCCTGCATATAATTATTTACCGTTCAAAATTAATTAACGCATTTGGGATCTTAATATATACCGGCTCTCTTTAATTAAAAAATATTTACGTTATATATGTAGGATAATGTTTGGTATTGTTTAAAATAATAAAATAATTTGGACGTCTGGTGTTTAATTTTAAGAATAAATCAAAAATAAACTTATACACTTCGTTACAAAGTTTTAGTCAAAGCGCGCAAAATCTTCTAGCGTCCTATGTATTCGGCGGATACGAATCTTCTATCGTCTCTCTCTCGGCTTTGTGCCTTTTACTTCGACCCTGTTTTCCGTTTCGAATTTGTCGGTTGAGTCGTATATCGGTAATCGACGAATATCGTAGAGGTGAAAAGAGATATTTGTTTTCTTTTGAGAACAATCTCTACAGTCGCGCAAATATACAAACTTGTTGTGAAAGATTCGTAGTTAAACTCAAAGATACGATAAATACACGATAAGCAGTATATAATAAGAAATATAATTTTGTTCCTACATACATATACAATAAGTAAGTATATAACTATATAATTTTTCAAATCAATCTTAAATCTCGCTCCAAAATATAATCAAAATATAATTTACTCTAAAGAAAGCGTTCATTTATCATTTATTTCTTACCGCGTCCCCGTATAGGACGAAGAGAAAATCTCGTAACAGAGGACAACGCCAGCAATTTGCGATAATCCGAAATTAATGGCGCTGCAAGGGCGGCAAGAAGATGACAGTTGCGCGCGCGCGGTCCAGCTCGAGTTTTTTGCTAGATACGGTCTCGCGTCGCAAACGCGGAAATTCGCGGGCGTTGGGAAAAAGCGACAAAACCGATTAAGGCACAATCGGCGCTAATTGCGCTATTAATATTTGATTTGCGCGCGCGCTCGTTGGTATACGTTCGGTCGATCGCGCGGCGCGCGGCCAAGAGGGATTTTGTGTTTTCGCGGTAGCGCCAATGGCGGGGCCTCCTGATTCCCTTTTAATTAGTCCGGGTTTTGTAGTTTTCGAACGCATCGGTCGCGTCGATTGTACCGCGACACGAGAGCTCGTAATCAGTGGCAGTCATTTACTCTCCCCCGCGACGCTCCTTTCCCACCGCGCTCGTTGTCGTATTCGCGGCAATGTGATTTGATTAAAATGTCATTGCCAGGGATGCTCTAACATCCCGCGTCTCTGATGATCCCATAAAGAATTAATTAGCGTTTAGATTGCACGAGAGAAGCTCGTGACAATAAGCGTGTAAAATTGATCATTACCGCCTCTTCGTTGTGGGGACGTCCTTACGTCTTATGTATTTACATAGGACGTGTATGTGCTCCTCGATGTTCCTCTGGGCGCGATATGTCTGTGAACTTAACGATGTGTCAAACAACGTGCTGTGTGTTATCATACACAGGTTCATACAAGTTTCTAATGCAACATAACAATGTAAACTTAATTTGCAATAACCGTAATATCAACAGGTTCACATGATATATGAATATTATCGAATTAATTAATTAAGAGCGTTTTGATATGCTCCTGTTTATTTTATATGCGCGCACGTATATGAAATAATGAGTGTGTTCTATGACGCGCGAATAAACGCAAGATCCGGAATGATTACAAATCGACTAGTATCCGTCCCACGTTGTAACGCTGTGTACAATTTCGCGGCAATAATCGATTTCGATTAAAGGAATACGATCTTTTCGTCAGAGAGTCGGAAAATCCGATGTCGCGAGCGAGCGATCGATGGATCGATCGGGCAGCGCTTACCTTCGCACGCGACGAAGCCAACGAGACGTCGAGAGCAGCAGCAGGGACGAGAGTGTAGTAGATCACATGGACGGAGATGATCCGAACGATAGTCGCGTGATAGTTTTGCAGCACCGTATGTCTTCTCCCGATTGCCGGATTCTCCGCTTTAGAGCGTTCTCAACTTCCGATCGGATCGATCCCGCCGGAAAAAAACTATTGCAAGAAAATCTTTCGAGAAGATTTTATGCTTCTCGAACACGGAATGAGCTCGATTTACGTGCGCGCTGGACCAGACTCTCGCGCTCGGTTATGCTGCTTCTCGACGCTTTCAGGGGCCGGTCGTTCTCTCTTTTTCTCTCTCTCTCTCTCTCTCTCTCTCTCTCTCTCTCTCTCTCTCTCTCTCTCTCTCTCTCTCTCTNTCTCTCTCTCTCTCTCTCTCTCTCTTTCTTTCACTCTTTCTACCTCCCACTCTCTCTTTCGCTCGGTCGCACTACGGTTGAGACTTAGGCGCTTCTTCTTCCACTCGCGTTATTTCTGTCTCTGTCTCACGAGGCCCATACTCCCGCAAGATCGCTGCTTCTTGGGTCCCCGTTGTTGCCAGATTGTTTGTGGATCACACGCTCGAAACGCGTTCGCGGTGCTACATACCCGTAAGCTATGTTCCGCCGTCTTTACAGGTCCCATTATTTCTCTGTAATTTGCACAAATTTAGTAGATTTATTTATCCTTGTATTAAAAATTGATACAACAAATTAGAATTTTATGTTAAAATAATAAAAGTAATTTATGTCATTTATATGTGCTAATTAAATATTGCAAAGACTTCCAACTAACAATATGTTTGATCAACAATTTCCAGATACACTTTGTATCTCTCTGGAGAGAAAAGATTTCCGCATACTTTCGAGTTTGAGGTTTCGTGACAGGAAAGAAATATAGTTATTACTTGAAGCTAACATTGCTTTAGAAGCGGGTTTGCATATTTTGCGGTTTGACGATGAGATCTTGTACAATGCGAGTTTATATGTGTTCTTCGAACGATAAAGACCGTCTTGTACAGTTAAACCGGCGCGGATATTGCACGTTCGATTTCTTTTCTTTCGATTTGAAACCAATGACCGTGAGAATGAGTGTTGTGTTACATCATTATCGCAACTTTAAGAGACTTTTTTCTCTCTTTCTTTTGAGTATTTAAAATCTAGAACGATTGTAAAACTTAAAGTCGAGGTGTTACGTGTTGTCATTTTCTTTCTAGGACGCGATTAATAATGGAAATAATACGTATAAAATATCAAACAAGATAAATCGGTAATATTTATACTTCGTGAAAAAGATAAAAATAAATATATAACTTCAATTATATTTTATGTATCATTCTCTGGAAATGTGAGATTTCAAACAAATGAAAAATCTATCTTATTACATATTCTTTTTCCAATCTCTTTTTGATCTTCTCAGATGAATGTGTTCTTTTTTGACTCCGCCGATATTGCAAGGTTTGGCAACTATATATAACGGACAGTGATCCTACATTCGATTCCAATAATGTCTTTCCACATGAAAGCGGCGTTACCATATGTTTCGTATTGGTAACGCCAACTTCATGTGTAAAGACATTTACGATATCTACTGTGTATATACTTATTGAAGATACATATCGATAAATTGGAGAATTGTGGAGAACCGATATTTTATTTAAATTAAAATAAACGATCGACGGTAAAACAGGTTTAAAGTTTTCACGATCCTCGGTAGATGTCCAACATGGATCATCGATCGAGCAATCGAAGAGATCGTACATTAAATACAATCGGATAGTTGTGTTATGTGTTTTTATTATTACTAGCACAAGCGTGTGCTACGCGCACGCTATTGTTATTTTTATTTAACGTGTTGTCAGTGAACACAACCTGTCACTGCGATGACAGATAGTATATACGTCTTATAAACGATATAATACACATATGAGAAATGTCAGAAATAACGCATGAAAATCAAACTCAAAAAATAATGAGAGAGAGAAGTGGAAAAACAACACGTGACTAAAGTCACGTAACAGAGAAAAGGGTAAAAAAGAGAATATTATATATATTATATGTAATATATTCTATATCTATATATAATACACACACATACGCATATATGTATATATATATATACCGTAAT